AAACTGTTTCTTAATTCATTTCAAGCATCTATAAGGCTTGACTTTTTTTCGTTTGGATTAAAAACATGAGAATAGAGTATCCATGAAAAAAGCTTATAATTATTTTAATTGGATCATTCTTGCATAACAACAGCCAATTGAAATTTCGACTCGGCAGGCTTCCTCCTCGTCGGATTATTTCTTGATGATATTGATACATTAAACTGATATATTTCAAAATGTAATATTTATATGCTCTGTATATGTTATATATGCTTTTTATGCTATATATATGTTATATATGCTTTTTTATGCTCTATATATGTTATATATGCTTTTTTATGCTCTATATATGTTATATATATCCTACGAACGCCCTATATACACTATTTGATTAATGTACTTTATAACTTCTTATGTCGTATTATATACGACATACCATCTTCCCGCAAATATTTTTTATGCATACGTGTTTGTTCTTGAACTGACAACAAATTAAATTTCGACAAATTAAAGAAAATAAATTAAATTATTAATAAATTAAGCCGAGTATTGAACCGAAATGAATCGATTTTTCGTTAAATTATTAAGCCAAAATTCGGACGCGAGTGATTTGAGATTCCGCTAAATCATTAAGACGAAATTCGGATCGATGTGTCATAGGGCTCAGCTAAATTATTAAGCCAAAATTAAACCGGAGTGTCGTGTTTCTGCTAAATTATTAAGTCCAGATTCAAATTAGTATGCTTTGTGTTTCCGCAAAATAATTAAGAGTTAGTTAAGCCTGGAAATATTTTTTAAAGATTCTTTAAGAAATATTTGCGTTAGCAAATTTACATATTCCAAAGGTGCATATTTAACTCTGCATTGTTTCTTGGATAACAATGTGCATTAATGTCATTCTTCTCCGTCAATAACACGCCCAGAATTTTGAAAATAATTTTCCTTGACCCTAAAGTTGCGCCTATAATGTTAGATCGATAGTAGTATATACGGATTAACACGCATGCGCACTGGTATATATCTTGCGCATTGGCCGAAAGTCGGTCATATTACTACAGGTTAAGTCACGCAGAGTTAAAACGTAGAGCACCTTTTTGGATAGATATTTAGAGTTTTTCAAACTAACATTCGCGATCCAGAAATGTTTATTTTCGAAAATTACGTCAGATGTGCTTATTTCGTTCTGTATCATCTCCTGGGTGACAACGCGTGTTTGTGTTACTCTGCTCCGTCAGCAGCACGCCCAAAAGCATGAAATTAATTTTCAAATATTTCATATTCGCGCCCATAACGTGAG